GGGGGGGGGGGGGGGGGCTATCGCAATGGTGATTTTAATAGACCATCTAGGTCCATAAGAGAGCAGTTCAAAATCAAGGAGGGAGGCTGGACGCAGGGACACTGGCCACTCTCCTTACGGGCTGCAGTTAGAATATAAAACAAAAAAAAACAAAGGCATTGTGTTGGCCACCTCCCTCTGCCCCCCCCCCCGCAGGTCCGTCCCTTACTGTAGCATCAGCTGCTTGAGGTTGTCGTGCAGGATGGAGTCCTTGACATCCCGGAACACCAGGCGGATGTTCTCCGTGTTGATGGCGGTGGTGAAGTGGTGGTACAGCGGCTTCTGCAGGGCCTCGCGCCGCTTTTTCCGGAAGCATTCCACAAGGAAGAGCTGGACGTCGGCCAGGCTGGAGGGGTCGCCCGAGAACTCGCGGAAGTAGTCCCTGATGGATACCTGCTTCACCTTCTGCTCCAGGAGGTCCGTCTTGTTGAGGAAGAGGATGATGGAGACGTTGTTGAACACCCGGTTGTTGACGATGGTCTCAAAGATGCTGAGCGACTCGCTCAGCCGGTTGGTCTGCCGGTCCTCCATCAGCACCTAGGGGTGTTGAATGGCAAACGCAATCTTAGGCATTACCTCTTACCTACATGTAACACTTCTTTTCTCCGAGAATTACAAACCAGAAGACCAATCAGACCCATTTGGGAAAGAAGTGGCTCAATCATAAATCTCAGAAGATGGGGATTCAGTGATTGAAGCGATGGTTCGATATGGGTATTGTGTTTTAATGGTAATTAATGTTGGTTTTTCTCCACTCTAGAAGGCTTTTAGCCAGCTCACCTGGTCGTATTCAGAGGAGGACACGAGGAAGAGGATGGAGGTGACGGAGTCGAAGCATTCAAACCAGCGTCGCCTCTCCGAGCGCTGGCCTCCCACGTCCACCATCTTGAAAGGCACGTTTTTAATTTCAAAGTTGTACTCGTGGATTCCCTTGGTGGGTTTTCGGGCCAGAAGGATGTCCTGGTGGCTAGGCAGATAGTCCTAAAAAAAAAAAAATAGACGATTGAATTAATAAGGACAGATTTTCCTTCCCTCTCTTTTAAAAGGAAAAAAAAAAACATTTTTTGAACAGACTAAAATGAAAATCATCTCTGAGGGAAGTAAGAGCTTAATTTACATCCACATTTTCAAGAGAAATTTGGGATTAATACCCGCACCTTTACCAACCCTGGCTAAGGCATGTTCAGGAGAAGAATCCTGCAAATTGCTCGCTTCTTTTCGGAACCACAACAACCTTTATTCAGTTCTTGGTGGTTTTTGAGGGACATTTTCCACTGTTTCGTCAATCTTTTTTCCCCATCATCTCATCATCAGTTTATTTTCCACACTACCGTCATTAATCATATATTAGCAGAAAGAATGCAATTTCAGCTCATTTTTGATTCAGCAAACTTTGACGAAGTTGCCTCAATAACTTCTTAGAAACCATGTCCCAAAAAAAAAAAAACGCAGGGTCCATGGCTGCTTTGGGCACAGTCCTTCTTTAATGGGCTGCATTCCTGAAATGCCAGAGCAAACAAACAAATAAAGGGACAGGGACAGTGTATATTGGGCCTTATTAGTTTACGCTGTCTCCAAGGTGTCTCTAAGCAATACAACTGGACAAAGTTGGAGATCAATTTTGATGTGACTTAAAAAGGACACACAGGAAGACAGAGGACACAATGTTTTGATTGCTCAGCCAGTCCAAACTGACTGAAGTGAAACTGATTTTTTCCAGCTATCCATTCATCCAAATCAAGCGTGTATGGGGCACCAAAGATGATGTAATATCCCTGCCGATCTCGGTTTTTAATTCACGGCATCCGATTGTTAGGGCATTTAAGACGTGGTGCATCATTGCTCTTGATGACATGCTGGTGTATTTCTGCATGGACATGCAAACAAACAACCTGTAGTTTTGCAAATAACTCCAAATGTCTTAGGGGCTCGACCATGAACAAGAGGTATGACTTCATCTAGAGCAGAAAAAGAGAGAGGAGAAAGCTCAAAGGACATCACCAAAAATTATTATCTAAATTGAACCAAGTTAACTCTCGGGAACGAAAAGCATTCCTAACTTTTATTTTGCTTTTCTGCAGAGCGAGAATGGCATGTCGCGGCTTGATCGCGACATACCCATCAAACAGCTGCTTCAGCCCATAAAATGATCACTTCCAATAAGGTTTCTTCTGCTAAAACAGATGTGCAGACAAAAACCGAGAAAGAAAATAATACTTGCATACCAATTTCTCTGAAAGCGATAACAGCTGATTTAAATGACTCACAGCCATATTTTCTTCCATCTTACACTCAAAATTAAAGGGCTATGTTTATGTTCTTGTTTACAATATATACCATTTGACATTTACTTTAATCACCAGAATATTAACTGTCAATGTGAGTATCTATTTATTCTTTTATTTATTTGGAAAACATATTCAGCTTTGACTCTAAAATGAAAGTTCAAACCAAATGAGAGGTTGTGCACATTATGGTTAAGTGGCAATTACAAACGCTTTGAGTTCTCAACACTTCCTGAGAAAGATTTTTTTTTTTTTATCACTGTCAGTTACCACAGAAAAAATGTATCCTGTATTAATACTCATTTATGTCACCAGACATAAATGATGTCATTATTTAAAATTTTGGTGTCATAAAATGCCAGTGTCATTAGTGTTGCCGGTTCTACGTCACAGCGGAGATATTCTATACTCTATTAAGGCCCAAGCAAAACATTTTTTACGTGTAAACATCCCCTTAAACATCTAAAGGTCTTTCTTTATTTTTTAGCGTCAAGTTTAAATGACGAATTAATTTGTTGAGAAGGACACAAAGGGGTACAGAACCGTGTGTGTGGCTCCCAGTGTGATGTTCCCAACTCAAAACAAGTTTGTTGCAAGTAGCATCTGCGTACTGTTTGACTCAGGACTCTGAGCCTGTGTACATATGCAATCAAAATAATTTACCAATGAGTTTCAATAAGACCTTTTACTGCAGCTGACTCACAAAACAAGCAACCAAACAGCAGTCAACATACCGCTCCGTGTGCTTTTCTTTCTTTTTTTTAAATAAATGGCTTGAAATAGGTGCCCATTTAACTTTGACAATACTGTGTTGTCAGAGTTGCATCCATCCTCCCAAGAAAGGACAAAGTTTATCCTGGGCATAAAAACTGGTGCCTGCCACATTAATTGTAAAAAATTATTATCATTAGTGTAATAATAATGTACAAATAAATAACAATGTCTAGATTATGGTTGTAACAACACACTGGCCTCACAAGGCAAGATACTGAGTTCACGAAGGGAGAGATTTACAGGACTTTGATGAAAACTTTTAAAGATCCAAAATATGAAAATATATCAAAATTAGCTATTCATTTGTTTTAATCATCCAAGTGTACAAAATAACACAGATCCACTAAACACTCTTAACTTCAGACCAGAAAATCTGTGTTGGCCAGAGTCCAGCCTTATTATTATAATTTTTTTCTTATCTTATCAAGCAGACTGTTACCATTCAATGTTTCAAATGGGGACCCAGAATGCTCAACAAGTACTAAACACTGGCTGCAGCTGGCCGTGAGACTGGTTTCCAAAAAAGAAAGAACTCTTGCCACGTTTCAATCTCATGAGATTTTGTGTCTAGACACCCTTTCGGATATTTTCCTGTCGTTGTTGTTGATGATTTAGGTCTCCAGTATATCGTCTATATTTATTGGTTTGTACACATGCCACCTACAAACCAATAAATATGACATATGACGTAAAGACTAATACATCTTTACTCAATCTAGGTCAAAGCCCACCGTGCGTACCATAGGAGTTCCTGTGGTTGTTGAATGCTCTCATGATAACGTCTCGTCAAACACTTAGAAAAGAAGAGCTAATGTTCTGCTGTACCACACAGCTGACTTATTGCAGAATTGATGAAAACTACTTCTGCCATTAAGAATCATTTCTAAGATGCAGGCTGACTCACAAGTGCGTTTAACATCCGTTTGGCTTAAAGCTGCTTTTTGCAACCCGTTATGCATCATCTCCTGATTACAACATGACTTTTTGAAAGATTTTTCTCGTACATGTACAACCATCGGGTTTGGTTTTTGACTCGGTGAGGCTGCTATATGCAGGAAAAGTGAGTGAAAACATCGACAAACCCCTGTGGAGTCACAACCGAGGATAGAAAGACAAACGCTTCCATTTAGGTTTTCAACAGACTGGCTGTGTTATCGCACCCATCTGCTACATCAGCCATCTTGCTTGTAGGACTTGAATGGTGGGCGGGACTTACCATCTGTCCAATCTTTTCCAAATTGTCCAGGAAATACTTCACTGACTCCCCCTGAGAAAAAGAGAAGAGAGATGAGTTCCGTTTTAAATGGACAAGCACATTTCTATATCAACCCAAAAGAGGGTTCCTTTTCATACAATACTCATATAATCCACCACCACTTAGAAAAGAAAGATCGAAACTGGCACATCCTTTTAATATATAGAGAAACATATTCTATTCTCCGGCAACAATTGGGAAGTGATTTTCACAGTGAAATATGACCCTATCAAGGAAGTCATGGAATGCCTTAAGAGTAAGCTGCAGCTCCATTTCCATCCCGAAGACTATTTAGAGCTACTGTTCCAGCATATTTACATACAGCTGGGGAATGTGGGAAAAACTCTGTACTGATATGTACTTTGTTGCACTTTTCAGATCCGTTTAAAATCCTAATTAAATCATGTATCCTTATTATAGCTACACAAGGCCTTGGTAATGCCTGTGCCACTTTTTTTTTACATCTAAGCTATAACAGACTGTAGATTTTACATCCTCAAAGTGGCAACACTTTTCTTCACATCCATAGTTGGAACATCCACCCCGGTGACATTACCAGCTGGAACTCTCGGCGCCGGTCGTAAGCGTTCTGGATGCCGTGGTCGGCCCACAGCGCCCGGATGGATGGCAGGTAGCGCTGGAAAATGGTGAGTTCTACCATGCCGTGGCCGTGGGTCATCACTGCTCGCGTGTCGAACGCCATCATGATGTCTCCATGCGGCTGGTTGGATGGGTCCCCCCAGGGAATGTGCAGTTTTTCTCTAGCATCCACCAACACTCTGATGCCTTAGTAGGGAGAAAGATTTGACATTAAGATTGTTGCATTTAGGGCTGTAATCAACTGAGGAAATTCTCTCGACCGGCAAGATGACCATTTACAACACAATAAGACTATTAAACACAATCTTTACTAGACGAGTAAAAACTACATAAAACTGCATTCTTAGAAGAAAAAAAACACAAGCTCAAAACAACAGCCGTGAACAAGCTTCAATCTACCTGTCTGTATTGTGTTGGGCTATTCAAATTAGTAAAAAAACGAGGGGGGTGTTCTCTGAAGACAGGGACGCTCTGATCAGCAGTTAGCACTTGGTACTTTCCTCGTGATGGAATTAACCAGACTGGATGAAAATAACAGCAGAATTGGTCGACCAATCAGAATTTTGGTTCTTGCGTTGATCAATGTGCGCTGGTCATCTAAAAAAACTGCAATTCAACAATTGAACTGTTCGTTTTGATATGGTATGACGATAATTAGGTTTTTGACTAGGGCTGAGACTTAAATGAGCCAATTTTTTATCAATTCATTACTGAGAAAATAACACATTATACCTGGTGGTTATGCATCTAAATTTTCTGAGCTGCAAATAAAAGATACCCAGATAAAGATACCCAGGACTCATTGAAAGTAATCAAGAAAGTGAGGAACCCAGCGATGAACAACCTAATAATGTTGCTTGGCTTGTAAGGTGGAAAGTTTCCTGTTAAAAAAAACAATAAAATAAAATGAAAAAAGAAAAAAATATATATATTTATATATCTTTGACGATATATGTTGTGATTAAAGTGAAAGTACTTTAAATGAAAGTGTATCTACACTGGGAATTGCTCGTGAATCCATCATCCATAAAGTGTCATCCTTTTTCATACTCCTGTGCTGACCATAAACAAAAAAACACCATACCGCTAATTCAAAATTGCAAAGTGTTAGGGGAAATAAACTAAAGTACTTTAGATTTACATGGTAGCACACAAATTTGGAAATATACTTAACATAACCAGGTAAACTGCTCTATGTTTAATTTATCATAAGCTAATAAAAATACTCTCAACATTAATATGTATTTTAATCAGGGTTATTATCTCCGGGGTCTTTCTCCCTCACATGCTGAAACAACAAAAAAATGTGCTTCGATTGCCTTTATAGAAAGCAAACTGACTTCACTTCCCTCATGGGAGAAAAAAAAGAGTTTCTATTCTTCTTTATGCCAAAAACATATACCAAACAGTTCTAATATGAAACAAGGAACTGTGAACTCCATCATCTGACAAACATTTTTTTTTGTAAGAAGGATTTTTGCCCCATTTTACTCAGATTATAGCATTCACTTAAGAGCCTCAGTAATTATGGAAATTACTTTCAGAAATGGAAGCCTACGCTGGATGAGACCTACCCCACAACATGCAATAACTATGTTTATGTTTTTATAAACTTAACCATAGAGACTTACTACAAGTGTACAACATTACAGTTCAAATCAAAGCTTAAATAAGATACAAAAAGGGAAGTCACTAGAATTAACCTTTTTTTTTGTTACAATTATGTACCAAACCCCCTGAATCATAAGCAACATCTGTACATTTCAAAAGACTAAATGAATGACTTAATCTGCTTAATTGCTTTATTCAGTGACTTTATTCATGATTACCTTTTTATTACCTGAATGTATCAACCTACCATTTATGTATGTACTGTATCAATACTCACTGCAATGGTGGTAATAATAAATCTTGTGACTTTTTTATGTAATGTTTTATCTACTTTCAGAAAAAAGGTTTTAATTGGACAGTCCTTATGTGGGAAGGCATATTCTTTTTGCCATATTATGATAGGAGTGTTTGTTTTTATAGCAAACAAATACTTTAGTGTCCCCGTCCAGGCATGGATGACAAACAGAAATGTTTACGTGCTAACAATGGTCCGAACGGTAACGGTAACAACGCCAAACCGTTGTTTAGCGGCTGCTTATGATGAAAGGTACACCACGCTAACATCTGAGCTCCGATCAAACGAAAACTATTGACAACCCACCGGACGCTTTGTCACACCCTTAAGCCCCATCGTCAGACAGGCACCGACAGCATGGGCGTTTCGTGGCCGCTTTACCAGCTAACCAGACTAGGTTTGTCGAACACAGAAAGTAGCCCCCCGAATCTCTCCAACCGCTGCTAGCATGGCTCTCAACTTCCCTTCTCAACTTTATTACACGACCTAAACGGCCAACACAAAGGTGCTACCACACCAGCTTCGTCAAATAAAACCCAAAACGTTTCGTCGTAGACTTACCTTTTATTACATTACTAAAAATTGTAGCTCTGAATTCTTCTTTGGCCTTCTGATCAAAGTCCTGCCCGTGGATAATGCGCATCTGTTTGAGGAAAGTGGACTTACCGCTCTCACCCGCTCCGAGTAATAAGATTTTCACAAGCCTTTTAACATACGTCTTATCTCGGTTAATACACTTATCTATGTCTCTTGACTTCTGCAACTGTTCCCTCTCGCTGCTCGTGAGGAGACAGTTAGGAAAAAATAGAGATAAAACGGAGCGGGACGGCAGGAAGTCCGCCATCTTTGAAACAACTTCATCGATACGGTCGGTGAGGAAGGCTGAGTCTAATGAGGACTGAGTCACTCCAGTCTACTGATGCATTCACGTGACGTAGGAATTCATGCAAAATAACAGTTATGATTACTATACGTTAATTTAATTAATCAAATAAATGAGGCCCTTCTTCTTAAAATTGCTTGTACTCATTCAAATCTAAAACAAAAAATATAACTCTCAAATTAATTAAATTATACCATAACAGCAAAACAAGTTATCTTAAACACTATACAAACAACCAAAAAGTTGCTGAAAAATAATTGATATTAAATATGTTTGGAGACCAAACAGATCTCGTAGCATACATCAAAGGGAGGCTCAAGTGTAGCTTTGTTTTCATGGCATGCAGTAAGAGGACCTTATAAACAAAACATTTTCTTTAAACCCAGTAGGACAGGAAGGTGTGTGGTCGCTCAGATTCCTGTAATAACAAATCTCTGATCACTCATATAGAAATGACTGATGAGATATGTGAGAATATCTCTTATCATATCAGAAATATACGATTTGTGCGCCTCACCTCGGGCAAAAATTAATGGGACTAAATAAACTCAGTGATTAAAACTGGAAATCAAATGTCTAATTAAGCTGTTTAAAAAAACATACATCGTGAACTGGGACAAAGATGGATTTTTGTATTTGTTTGTGCAAGAAATCTATTGAAATATTAGTAAAAAGTTAAAAAAAACAGAAAGTCATAAAACATTCTAAAAATGTAATATCTCTAATCCTACCTGTATCTTAATTGATTTGTAGTATTATTTTAAATAATCCTTAAGATAGCCATAGACCTTGCACTAGGGACAGAAGTGTTGCTGTTCCAATGAAACATATACTTCCTCCATTTGGACTAGAAATATAAGCAGTTAGTAGCCAAAGGAATACTTAAAATGAGCATACCAGAAACTGAAATTGAATGCGCACATAACTGATCAAATACATATTATTTCTACTGAAAAGAGTTGATTTGTCTACACATCCAAATCCTCAACACTCAGGCTGTGAATGGAATCCCAGAAGAATCAGCAAAGGGGTTTTCTAGACGTGGGAAGTGAACTGGAAAGCTCTTTCTGGTGCAATATCTACCCTCAGTACAAACACATGATTAACTTAGAGTCCAGTACTCGGTAAAATAAGTTTGTGGAGATCTACAAAGTGTGCAGACCTAAAAAAAGAAAGTTAAACACAGAGAAAGTGGTATTTTTATTGTAACGCAGAGCATTTTGTTCCATGGAGTTTGAGGAGCAGTTGCATGAATATGGAACCATGCACTGTAATTGGTAATATGTATTCATAAAATAACACAGGTCCTTTGCTAAAGCATTTGCACTTTATTGGATCAGTTTATTGTTCAGTTTGTACCAGTTGAACTTTTGGCTTGGTTTACAAGTTGAGGTAATGTAGACCAGAATTGTAGATCTAGGAATTTATAAACAGAAATGTTGTCAAGTTTGAGGTATACCACTGGGGTTCTATTGTACAAGGGTTAAAGGCGCCGAATGGTAAAGTGAAATGTACTGAATAGCAACAATGACATAAATAAATATTGTTAACTTGTATGTTCTCGTGCAAAAAAGAATATTGGCATATGTGCATATAAAGAACATTATTGAGGCATTGAGTTTACTGTTTTGATAGTTTGCTGGTCTTTTGCTTGTGTGGGGGTTGTGTTCTTGGAGTTTTCATGTGTGAGCAGTCTGATGGCCTACGTGAAAAAGCTGTTGTAGCACTTGCCTGATGGTAGGAGACTGAACATTTCCTGTTCTGGGTGGGTGGGTGGGGTCACTGACAATGTCTATGGCTCTGTTGCAGCAGCAGGATACTGTAAGTACAGGTCTGGCTTAAATGGTTGGGCTAATCTAGTGAATCTAGTCTAGGTCCTCTGTAGGACCTTCTGGTCAGTAGGAGGGTGGGTGCCATACCAGACTGAGAGTTTGCTGGTGAGTATGATGTCAATGGCACCCCTGTAGAATACGCTGAGTGCAGAAAGGGGAGGATGGCTCTCCTCATCCTGCATTGGAAGTGGAGATGTTGCTGTGCTTTCTGGACAAGGGAGGTCATCTGTGATGTACACCCCCAAGAACTTGGTTTTTCATTGATTCCACAGAACTGCCATTGATGTCGAGGGGTGTGCGTAACAGGAATTTGTTTCTGAAATACACAGTTATTACCTTTGTCATTTCTTTGTTATTTTCCTTTTTAAACATTGAGCTATAGATTGTTGACGTCACACTAGTTGATGAGTTTGTGCACCACCTCTCTGTAGGCTGAGTCATTATTGCTGCAGGATGAGGCCCACCACTGTTGTGTTATCTGATGATGTATTGAGTTGTGTCTGGTAGTGATGGGTCATCAGCGTGAACCTCGTGACTCAGCACACATCCCGGGGGGGACACCAGTCTTCATGATCATGGTCTCTGAGGGGGAGCACCATGACAATGAAGAATGTTAATTTTCATGATCATGATAAAGAAGTATGTGTATAACCACGCATTAGAAAGACACACTGCTCTGGGTTGAGTCTTTTACCTGGTCTAGATTATAATTTGGCCCCAAGCAGAAATGAAAAAATACCGTTCATAGCTGTGCCTCGCTGAGTAGGCACCAGTGGAAAAGTGCCATTAGTCAGCTCTGGGAATTATGGCAGGGTAAGCAGGCTTACTGAGCCAAGTGGCAAGCTGAACCTGCATTCTAAAAGCCAGACATAGTAGCCGATCTAAACGGCTAACAAGAATAAACCTTTTGACTGCGTTTTCCAAGTTACAAAAAAGGTCAATAGGAGTGCGGAGTTACGTGAGAAGATACATTCCGGTTTGCTGAGGTGGATGAAAAGTAGGTGTAGGTGTGGGGATACTGAGACCTCTTCCAATATAGCATTGAGCCTTTTTTTAGAAACCAAGAACCACACCTATAGTACACACACACACACACACACACACACAGGCAGGGAAATACAGGTCACAACACATCCAGGCTTATGTCCAGAGCTGATTAGAGGATAAATCTAACCAGTCTGTCCGTTCCTACAATCTCCTCACAGGATGACTTCTTCACATCAACTGTCTGCACTCTGGTCTGTCTGTGGCTTCATCTGATCATAGGTCGAACATCTCACACCTCAACCTCATATCATTTGATTCCCGTCTGATTTCATCTTACTCCTTCTGGAAACATGACTATTAGAACTGTCCGTCCTGACCGCTGTCAGCATTTTCGGCCTCGCATGCACTGCCTCAAAAAGGTGGGTGAAAGCGTTATCATTGTTGTCGGTCAGCACTGTACAGTCGCAATTATGCTAAATGCTAAATGCTAATTTTGTTTTTACAAAGGTTTAAACACCATTGATGACTCTTAAGGAGTTGTTCAATTGCATTTAAGAAAAACTAAAAAAGCTATGGAGGAAAAATGAAAGCGTTTAGCATATGGGTCTCTGTTTTCTTTTTTTGTGTAGGAACTAATTAAATATAAGCAGGAGAAGGGCAAGGCTTGTTTGGGAATAATCTTTAATTCTTCTGTAAAGCCAATTAGCCCTTGATGCTCTGCTGTCATCAGGCATTAGCAGCATAGCTTGACCTTTTCGATTTTGTACTTCTAATATGAAAATTAGGTTTTTGTTCTTTATTTTCACTTTCAAGAAATAGACAAAGAAACAAAGATGGGAAGTTAAACTTAAACCATATTCAGTACATGACTCATATCTAAAGTTATATGGTAAAAAACAATGTTTGGTACCATGAAGTTGTGAGAATTACAATTATTTCTTGTTGTCGACAAACACTTGTCAACATGATAATATTGAGACAAAATGTTATAGGGTTTGTGGATTTTTTTCATCTTCTCTATCTTTATTTTATGACTAACAGCCCTTACCCTTACAATGTATTGGCTTAGAAGCGTGTTAAATTGTAGTTTTAGTAATTATTTGTGGTCCCCATAAACTTGCTGTTAGGTCATCTTTTCACCACACCAAATAATTGGTCAACATAAGTGTTACCTTCATATCACTCAGGGCTCAGTAGCCACATTAAACAGAACTTTGGCTCAGGCCCTTATTTATACCTACAGGTACTTATTTAAAATTTCCTCTTAAAATATCTGCTTTGGAAAAAATAAATTCCTTAAAAGAAGTAGCAATATAAAGTAGAGTAGTGTTAAGTAGCTGGTTAATTAAAAGATTGAGGGAAACAAAGCATGCAATACCCATGTAAATTTAAGATGTAGATTTTTGTGGTTGTACTAATGCAAAATAACTCACTAGAACTTAGTGACAACGTATTTTGTAAAACAAATAGCAGACTGACTCATTTATTTCAGCAAATGGAAAAATGAATAATTTCTAAGGCCCCAAATGTTATTAATTTATTCATTTTTCAATATTGCACTTTTCCCCTCAACCGTTTGAATCACATGTGCTCCAGAGTAGACCACGTACTTTGTGGGCATCCGTTTTTGTTTTATCGATGTAATCTTGTTAACACAAATAAATAAATCAATAATAAACTGTGCTTCTGCTCTCAGCTGGAGGCAATCATGGTGGAGATGCAGGACCCGAAAGGTGGAGTTAAGGGCACAGAACAGAAGCTAAATGTCACTTCAATCCCACACGTCATTGCTGGTAAGACTGTCATGCACACATAAACACACAAAATAAGCAAACACGTGTTATATCAGCATAGGTACTGAAGAAGAAATAATTATTCAGTGGCAGTGCATGAAATACAGCTACACCAGTAGCTTGTAACACTATATTTTGCAGCAAGATTTTTTCCTTTAGTCAAATGATCAAACAATTTCTATTCAAAACTACATTGTTGTGAACATGTTTTTGTACGTTCTGACCTTAGAAGAATATTCCAATTTGTATGTATCCTTTCTTGCAGTCTAAACTTTATGGAGGTCCTCACACCTGCTGAGGATCACTTGTTAAAGAATATTAGATGAGCAGCATCCAATTTTTTCTGACCCTGTTCAATTTTCTTATGATGGTGTAAAGTTGTTTTATATTGTTTCACACATCTCTGCCCCTTTTGTCTTATTTTTAATGACATTAACAATCACATATCATAGAATGTCATTGGTTGTTCCTCTTCTAAGATATTTTTTCCTTGTTTAAGAGCAAATCGGGACATATCATTTTTTAAAACCATCAATAAATTCTTTAAAACCTAGATCTGAAGGACATACCATTTTCCCATGATTGTGTATTTATGTGGTTATAGCTCAGTTTCTTATATTTGCTCTGTTGTAGTTTGTTTCATAGAACCCTACATGACTATTGTTTAGGAGCTTGTGTGGCAAGTATCTAGCCAGACAGTTGTGTTTGAACGGGTGAGTTATAGGAAGTGGATCTCACCATCCCGGCAAACTTTAACTTTAGAGATTAAACCATAAAGTCTAAGAATACATGTCCAGTAAAGTGGAACTGTAATGCATTAGTAAATCAGTTAGTTTAGTGCTTCATGCACACACATTCACATGTTGGTTAAAAAAAAGTATATTTTGCTTTTCTCATCTGTGGTACTTTAAACATTAGCTCAACACGAGGAATATTAGATTGGATTCAAAGGTTTTCAATAACAACCTCTTTTTTGCAGATAGTGAAAAGTAGGTACAAGGCATGCCATTTACTTCACGTTTTCCAGAGACTGCATTATATATTTAATCTTTTACATGCAAAGATATAGGTCAGTGAGACAGCTCCATACAGGAATGAAAACTTTCAGGCAAACACAAATTTATTCATACAAAAAATCAAATGTGCTGCTCTCCAGCTTCTCAGGAAATACAAATAAAACTGTAAAAAAAAGTATCAAGATGCACTACAAAAACCAAAAAACAACCTTAATGGGACACTGGAGGAAAGGGCAAAGTAACAGGTGGGAACAACAAAGAATAAATCAAAGGACTGAGAAGCAGTATATATGTATATATAGCTCAAAGTGAAAACTACAAACTCAACAAAGAAACAAGGACCAGCACAAAATAAAATAAATTAAGCAACTATATGTGACTACAAGCTAAACTACAAGTGTAAACTCACATTCAAAATACAGGTAAACACAAAAAACTGCTAATGATTCCAGTAAAAGCAAGTAAAGGGAGTGGGAGAAAACCCTGTTTTGGGTATGGGGTCATGAAAGTATAGAGAGTGCAGGAGGGTAGGGACAGGATAAGACAAACCATCAGGCTGTGTGGCACTGAAGCAAATGCATTTGATAAATCCAGAAAAAAATAACATGCAAGTCCTTTTTCTTAATGTGGGCTGTTTGAGTGGTGTGCCAAATCATGCTAATGCGCTCTGAACATTTTTCAAAGATGGTTGAACAGGAAGGAACTCAGGATACATAGTCCCTAATTCTTTCCAATGTATTACTGTAACCGCTCAACAATCCTGAGTCTTTAGTCATATTTTGCACTTAAATGGAAGACTGGACTGCAGGCGCATTAGTTCAATCTTTGCACTCTTTTACCACGATCCAGCTTTTATAATGCAGGCAGAAAATGGCCTAGCCCTGTCTTTTGGAAATAAGCAGGGATGTCCCTGAAAAAAACATCAATCAGAAATGCAGCAAATATTGCTGTAAAACCTGTATGCAGCTTTTAGCATTGACTTTAGCAAATCCCTCAAGTATGGGCACTTAGAAATCCTATTATTGTCACAGATTGTGACTTTTAAACTTTGCAAAATCTGGACAGTTCTTTGAAAACAAATTCCTCAATGAAGCTCAGAGATCCTCGGAGTCCAAGTTTTGTTCTTACAGCGAGGAGACAAGTCAGGAGCGTGTGGTACAGTGACCAAAACATTAGCTATTTAAACCTTCTATGTGGCAATACAGTGGAAAATATTGATGCATGCTTATTATAAATGTATCTTGCCGGGTGACAAATGTTGTCACACAGTCTTAATATCACCTCATGGCATTTAGCTAACATCCTTATCCTCTTTTGACAAGAGGGCCCATCCATTCCACAAGACTTCTCAGACGGCACTAGATTTTACAGTCTGTCAATCCAAGTTGCTAACTGTATATCTTAGTCACTATATTTAGTGAATTTTCAGTCCAGAATATTCAAATAGATTAGAGCCATACCATACCTAGCACTTAGTAGGCAAACATCACCTAGCAACTTTAGCGACTGCTAGTAGCCGATAGCTACTTTTTGACTGAGGAGTTGGTTAGTTCTGTCAATCTATCTCAAATGAGACCACACTTTCATCGTGTTTGGATGTTATTTGAACATTTACTTTTCATGTTTAGTTTTAATTTTCACATGTAAATGTAGCGATGGCCCACTTTAAAGGCCCACTACTATTGTCCTTTGTAGCTATTTTCAAAGCATTCTCTGTGGTCTTCTTATTAATAAGTTTTTTGCCAAAATGATCAAACCTATGCCATTTTCCAGGATTCTGCCTCTGCAGTCGCTCAATAGCTTATTAGCTTTCCCACCTATCCAACCATTGTCTATTCTGGCTATTGCTAGTAGGGCCATGGGGGTCTGGAACCTATCCCAGCTAACACTGGGTGAGAGGCAGGACATACCCTGGACAGGTCGCCAGTCCACCATTTTCTTTTTTTCTTACTATCCAACCTACTACATCACATTCATGTTGATCCGCCATTGTCTTCCCTACTTCCCAGAATCTGAGCAAGGCAGGAGCTTGTAGCTGGGCTTGTGGTAGCTTTGAGAGATTTTAAAATCAAGTTTGTCTGAGGCTGAATTTTAGGGTCTGACCATCTGGTTCACAGCGATTTGATTGCATGCATTCTCAGAAATTTGTTTTTTCGGTTAGTTTTCCCACGATATGTTCTCTAGCATCAGAAAAAAAGCCATATGAAGATGTGAACAACATGAAAAACTATTTTTATTGTTGCAGGTCTTTTTGACAAGGGGGCTCTAAAGGGTTCCTGCTCGCACATGGAGACTGATTTTTTTATCTGATTATTTCATGGACAATCCAACCTCACCATAAGTAGAAACAGTAATGTTTATTTGATGTTTAATGTACAATAATCTATGGCACTCATTCATTCATTCATTAATAGTCAAGTTCAGCTGTGAAAAAGATGGGTTTAGGTTAGAATGATATATGTAATTTGGCTAAATGTAACTAAACGCATTGGTACGTTTGAAAATATAGATTTATGGATATACACATCGTACTTTTCAGATGCGATTTTTATCTTGTCACATGGATGCTTTTCCACAGAAAATATCAGTATTAATTTTAATACCTTTTAATGGTGGAACAGGTAGACAAATATATCTCATGTTTTTTGTTGAAATTATGTTCTCATTGAGATAGCATTTTAGGTCCTGTTCAAGCTCCTGTTTCCTATTAAAAATTAGGGGAAATGTCTGTTTATTCCCTGTTCAAGCATTCAATCTCCATTACCATAGTGTGTGAAGACACCAACAAGCTGCCTTGGTGAATAAGCTGCTAACAGAAGCTAAATAAGGCAGTCTGCAATTGGATGAGATTTGGACAGTGCTTTAGAAGTCAAAGTAGCTTTTCAATCTGTCCTAAGAAGAGCAGGGAAAATGTCAGCGTAGATCATCGGACCAAGTTAATCACCTGTGCTTACAGGGGAGGGGCCATGCACTGCGGCTTGATTAGAAGTTAAAACTTTAAGATAATTGTTGGTGCTGCTAAATATAATTCCTATCACTCTCTGTTATGCCTCCTGGCTGCTCCAAGAGCTACTTCGTCCGACCACTTCCCTGTAACTGACTGAAAACACTAATACTGAAAACATGTTCTGCATTATTACCCTATATTTTTCCTGTACTATTCTGTACAACATTCTTCATTTCCATTTCTGCATCTAGCAGACGCTTTTATCCAAAGCAACTTACAAAAAGAGGCTTTAACATCCATCTAAAACACCAGCTCCACTCTTAGCTTAGCAATATGCCTCTTCTTAGCAATATGCTAGAAGTGGATTTAACATTCAACATTCAACTATAACACAGATTCCACAGGTACCATCCATTGATGCTATCAGGAGATAAGAGCATTTAGAGCTTTATGACCAGAGATACTTTTGGAAGAGCTGGCTCTTCAGGGGTCTCTAAAGTAGTAAAGACCATCTGATGCTCTGGTAGTGCTTATAAGGTACTATTTTAGACCAACGATGGCAGAAACTGAAATACCAAACGTCAGCTATTATCTGTTCCAAACTTTAAAAAAAGTACAGTCTTTTACAGTTTTCCAAAATGGTAAAATGGAATTTCTGCCAAGTCTAACTGGACTTAGGGTTAGGTTTAGGGTAAGGGTTATTTTTAAATGACAGAAAGTGGCTGTTTAACCATCCCTGTGTAACTTAACTTAACATTCTGTTCACTGTTTAAACTCTACTCTTTGTTTCTACACAGGTAAAGACATAATTACATGGATTGCAAACAAGATGAAGACAACTCAGGAAGGTATCATCTTTGGAAATACATAATGAAGTTGATTGTTTGGGTTTTTATTTGATTTTCGATAAAACATTCTGTTTGATATTTGATTTCAGGCTCATATTTAGCTTGTACACACTCCTTCAATTTTGTTTTATATGGAATACATAAGAATAATGCTAGTTATGAGGAAGAAATATGGCAAAAACAATATTCATTGTTGCTACTGTTTACTGTTTACTTCCCATTTGCCATCGTTTTCTTTGTTTCTCTTTCTGTGTTTCAGAGGCTCAGGTCTTTGGCACTATGTTAGTGGCGTTTTGTTACATCTACCCTTTGCAGAACCATAAGAAGCTAGTGATGTGTAATGACGACAGTCTTTACCGCTTCCAGGTACAACAAAATAATTGTTACATCTTTGTGTTAGGTTTTAGATTTTAGTTTAGTTTTACAATACATCACCATGGAAAAAATATTTCAAAGCTGTTCCTCTAAAAGGAAGTGCACCACAAAGAAATCCTGACAGTAAAGTCTATGATAGCAGAACTCAGCTCCGATGTCGTGCTTAACATAAACATTAAGATGAGAAGGTAGTGATTAAATATCCTCAGACTCATTGTTATTAATCTGTTTTATATAAATCAGGGTTATTATCACATTATTAGTTGTATTTTTTCAGTTTTCTGAATGAATGAAGCAATTCAATTCATTCTACAGCATGGTGGTTTTCTTAAGTTGATGAATATTGTTTTTTGTCTCGGGTTTATGATCTGTAGACAGGTCAGAAAGAAATGTTTAAAATAAAATTGAAGTTCGTGAATGTTTTATTTTTTATTTTCCAGTTGTTAAAAACGGGAAAATAAATAAAAAATATATATCACAGCCTCTATTAGATTTGACAGTCTAAATTCAATTTTGTTTTTTGTTTTGTCATAGAAAATGGATCATGACTTTTTTTTTTTCATTGTTTTGTGAATCACTAAATGATCACCTTAGAATTAATTGTACAGAGCATTAACAGGAGAGAATTCACCTTTATTCATTACACATATAACTTTATACATTTACCATTATTCTGTACATGTTAAATGTTTCTCTCTTTATACAAAAATTCTTAACCTTTCAGACACCATACTTTTGGCCAACACAGAAATGGGTGGCAGAGGACTCTGATTATGGTAGGTATGATATTTAATAATGGAAGAGGATTTGGTGTTGAAGGAATTGTTTTGCCTAATTTCTGGTCATTTTATAAAATCCATACATTTGTAAAGCCCAGCAGGCTTTGCCCTTTATGCAAAATCTTTGTGAACATTTCTGCAAAGCTCTACAACAGCCTGAGCGCTAATTATTCAACTGCTAATTATATTTATATGAGCTGCAATGTCTAATTCACAATGCAAGTATGACACTGTGTGGGCGTATGAACTTACTCCAGTTTTCTCTGTCTGTTTCACAATTTGCTGTCGTGTGATATTCAAAAATGAATACCAATTTTCCTTTTGCTGCTTTTCCAGCCATTTACCTGGCAAAGAGAAACATCCGCAAGAAAGGCATGCTTGAACCTTATGAACAGGTACATATATTGTAGAAACCAAACATTGTCCATACCCTTTTCAAAATGTATGTGTCTACAATATATTTCCAAATGTATGCCCTCACTCATCCAAATGATCAAAATCAGGTGTTGCAATCCCTCCCACAGCCCAAAAGTGCATAAAGTCATCTGGGAATGCAGGCCATTTATTACAAGCATTTGTTTGAGAATAGGTTGCTCTCAGGAAAACGGTGAATTCCAGTGAAACACTTTGATGGGATGGGACTTGTGCAACAAGTCCAGGCATGAAATGTTCTCGTTCCTAAATATTCCACAGTATTATGAAAAGTAGAAGAGATCTTGACACACAGAAACGTAGCCACTAAGTGGTAGACCACCTAACCTAATGGAGCAGAGACAGTGGACACTGAGTCCATCGCTACAGACTTCCAAACTTCTTGTGGTTTTCAGACGAGTGCAGACTGTTTCTAAAAACATCTTCACAAAGTGTAATGCAAAAGAACCTGATACATGTAATCAGGGGCACATCTCCAAGTTTCTGAGGGGTATGCGGACATATTAAAAATCCCATAAATACAGTCCCAGGCCTTTGGAAAGCCTTCCCAGAAGAGCTGAAGCTGTTATAGCTGCAAAGGGTTGGCCAACAACACATTGCACCCTGTGGGCTATTGAATTCACATCTGAGCCAAGGCAAGTGAGAGAATACATTTGGCATGAATTTGAACATATTTTAATGTATGCATGTATGAATGCAATTTGTAAGTTAATCCATACCCTCTTTTCGTATTAGACACAGTTTTTTCTCCTCTGCAACATCAAGTTAAATGTAAAATGATCTGTATTTCAAACAGGTACATTACAACCATCTCCATGACTGGCTGAACCACAAATGGGATTTCATTGTGATGCAGGCTACTGAACAATACAAGTAGGTACCACTTTAGTAGCAACCCCAGCATTAGCAGAGTGGTAGTGTCAGCAGCCGAGAGCTGACCAAGAATCAGTGGTCATAACGGTGTCCTAGGAGGTGCAAACTAGATCGTCCAAGTCCTGACGTCATGCACACCTGCTGGCACCGGCTGACTCACATGGAATGCTTGGAGCTCTACAATATCAACTTGACACCTTCATCAATAATGGTGTAATGCTGTAATTCTCAGGACAGAAGAACCGGAAATTGAGCCAGATACATAGCGTTACTAAAAGGGTATGTTCAGGACTGAAACACAGGAGGTCACGGCTGGGAATGGGGTAACTGGTTATTGGTTTGAAATGGCTTGGATGAAGGCGTGAGAACTTTACAGGAAAGCCACTAACCTTCTCAGAGTCTGTGTCAAACAGGGACAAAGGAGAGGTTCCTCCATAGTGTGGTAAACTCCTTAGGCAGAGGGGTTGACTGATGGATTATCCCAGACAAGCAGGGTCATGAGCCAGTTAGTCAGAGTCAGGTTGGTAAGCAGAGGACTGGGCGAGGCAGGAGTCCAGGCTCCAGGTCATTATCCAGAAACAGAGATCCAACATGGGCAAGGCAAAACAGGGAAATCCCAGAGACGACGACATGGTCATTAACGTGGTCAGGCAAGAGAGGGAATGCTGGATATTTGCTCACTCAAGGCTTTCAAAAATCTGGCAGGCCTGCTGGTGCGAGGGCGAATGAGCAACAGAACACCAAATGCAAAGTCTACCTGTGATTTCCCTCTTGATGTTCGACATGGGGAACACCCTCTCCAAAATCATCATAACAAGTAGCAGTGCATACCTCCTCCACATGGATAACATCAAGCTGCAGCAAGACATTGACTCCTGATACAAGAATATTGCTCCAACAAAGAAAAAATCATGGCTTCTTCCTGTCTTCTTCCCTCTTGATGTTCAACATGGGGAACACCCTCTCCAAAATCATCATAAAAAGTAGCAGTGCATACCTCCTCCACATGGATAACATCAAGCTGTAGCAAGACATTGACTCCTGATACAAGAATATTGCTCCAACAAAAAAAAAAAATCATGGCACAGCGTTATTATGGCATTCCTGGTGAATACATTTCATGCATGCTTAACTCCAACAGATGCTTTCTACAAGCTCTGGGACCCTTAGCTGCAATATGGGGCCCACGGTGTTATCCTCTAGTGGATTTCCTAGTTCAGCTTAGCCTGTCTGTTAGACTTTGTTCAGTATGGAATCTCGTCGGGGTACTATCCTGGCTTGCACCGGGAAATTGGGGGGAGGGGTTTGGATGGAAGATGTGCCCACTGTCATTTATTTTCATTTTTATAATTATTTTCTTATTTACTGTGCCCAAATTACATCGTTTTTTCATTTTCAAAAAAGACTCACAGCAAATAACTTTGCTGGAGGTCAAAGTTTTGCTGGGAAAACTGCAGTAAATTGATCTTATTTGTTCAGATATTGGCAAAAAAATCAAGGTTTTGGGTCTTTTTTAATCATACAGTACTCCAAAATGTGATATACACTTCTAATAAATAATTAAATCATGTGATTGATATTGTAATTCATTGCAATTAATCATAAAAAAACAATGAGATTGTTACCTAAATTTCTACAAATTTACCCACTTTTTTGGAGACAAGATAGCACTATACCTCTTTATATATACTCTATATACTTTACATGTTAGTCAAATTTATATGTGTAAGTTCCAGAGTTGGAACTAATTCAATGATTGAACATGAACACTTATCACTGTATCACAGCTAACCAATGTCATCGTTGTTAGCATTTTTATGTCTGGGCTTTGGCTTTCATAACATCACTTCTTTTTAACCTTCGCTTGATCATTACATGTCCCTAATACATCTGTTTGTGTGTGTGCACCAGGGCAGGTAAAGACAGGAAGAAGCCAGACCGAGTGGTGTTTGACTGCCAGGAGAGGGCTTACTGGATTGCGAACCGACCACCGGTCAGTCTGTTTGACTCTGTGTGTCACTATTTCAATATGATCTTGTTAGAAAGTGACAATAAGCTGGAGTTCTCCTCCCTGGACCACTATCTTATCTCAATGCAGGGGTTTGCATGTCCCAAAGACCTTAACAGGGCTTTGCCCCTGGTAGGGTCACCTATGGCAAAAGGGTCTGTGGGTGAGGGACCAGACAAAGAGCGGTCCAGATCTATGGAGCATAAAAACGTTGGAGCCTAGTTCAGTCTAGGGACGTGGAACTTCACCTCTCTACTGGGGAATGATGCTGAACTCGTTGGCGAGGTTGAGCGGTTCTGGCTAGCTAGATATAGTTGGACTTACCTTGAAGTGCAGCCTGGGTCCTGGAACCAGTGTCCTTGAGAAGGGCTGGACCCTCTTCCACTCTGGAGTTGCATACTTTTTGGCCCCCGGCTTGGTGCCTGTATGTTGGGGTGCACTAAAGTGTAGCCTCCTTCCACCTTTGGGTGGGGTGACAGAACTTGACTGCTATTAGTGCTTATGTAACAAACAGTAGTTAAGAGTTCCCAACCTTTTTGGAGGCCCTGGATAGAGTGTTGGAGAGCAATCCTCCCAGTGACTTTCTCATTCTGCTGAGGGATTAGGTTCCTCAGTGACCTGGAGGGGCGTGATTGGGACGAACCCTGATCGGAACCCAAGTGGTTCAGATCAGTTGTCATTGAACTTTGTCCAAAACAAACACTGTGTTCAGACATAAGATTGTTTGCATGCATATCTGGAATCAGGACACCCTGGGCCACATTTGATGATTGAATTTGTAGTTGTATCATTGGATTTGTTGCTGTAGGGGCGGAGCTGTAAACTGATCACTACCTGGTGGTGAGTTGCATGGGTCTGCTGGGAGTATCTGGCAGAGTCCTGTTTCCGAGTGGGAGTTTTAACTCCCATCTCCAACAGAACTTCTATCCTGTTCCAAGTGAAGTGGGGGATATTGAGTCCTAGTGAGGTCCTGCCCCAGATGGTTGAGTTCAAGTACCTCGACGTCTTGTTCACGAGTGAGGGAAGGATGTAGCCACACATTGGCAGTGATGCGCTCTGAATCTATCTGTCGTGGTGAAGAAGGGGCTCAACCAAAAGGCAGAGCTCTCGATCTACCTTCCTACCCGTGGGTAGTAGCTGAAAGAACGAGATCGTGGATACAAGCGGCTGAAATGAGTTTTCTCTGTGGGGTGGCTGTGGCTCTCCCTTAGAGATAGTGAGAGAAGCTTGGTCATCTGTGAGGGGCTCAAAGTAAAGCTGCTGCTCCTCCGCATCGAGAGGAGCCAGATGAGGTGGCCTGGGTATCTGGTTAGGATGTCTCCCTGATGAGGTGTGTCAGGCTCGTCCCACCAGGAAGACACCCAGAGGTAGACCTAGAAGTGCATGAAGGTTTCGGGATCCCCCCGGAGGAGCTGGTAGATGTGGCCGGGGAGAGTCATCCCTACTTTGGATGCTGGCTGGCTGGATTGATAAAAAGTGATCATAATAATTCCTATAATTCCATTTTATAATTCCATTTCCTCTCCAGCGTCACACTCACAGTGCTTTGGACTCTGCTCCAGAACGCCTTATTGATCCTAACGCAGATGAGGTAACAGGTCAGTATACAAAACAAGAAACAATGTTCAGTTTTGATTAACACATCTCTCTTTGGAATTTAAAAACTGCTGTTTTCATTAAATAATCTGCTGATTTTTGTCTTTTTTCCCCTTTCAAATAGATCTCCTTACTCTTGTGAAGATGTGATAATCAATCTGTATGTATACCTTAAGTCAGAAATGTTTTCTATTTTTAGACAGATATGGACATGATGCATTACATTTAATGAATTAGATATATTTTCAAGTAAGCAGTTTTATTTGACCTATTAAGATTATCCACCACATCAAGATCAGGACTGAATTTATCGATATCTTCAAACTGAGATAATTTTACAGCAGATTAACATGTAGAAATATTGAACTGTTTTGTCACTTGGATCATCTTACAAAGGGGAACCATGCCCAGCAGCATATTGGCTTTAATGTAGATGTAGCACATCACGTTCTATGACTACACCAGGTAACTTCACAGCCACATGAGTTTGCATTGCCATAAAAACCGTTTGTTGTCTTACAGAAAATCCCCTTTGACCAGTACAGACGCATGGTAAGCCACACTATAGAATATTGCTTGCAAATGAAGTATTATGTTTTGGACTTATTAGCAATATTTTTCAAGGTGTAATAAATCCCAGAGATGTTGCGTTTCCTGTTGGTATTTAACCATGTTCTTGACATTTTTCTCACATGAATGTCAAAAAGAGGGACCAGATGGTTGCTAATCGCTAATTTTTCAGCTATAGATTGAATGTTATGCTCCTGTTTTACTACAGAATGTGTTCTATCAACAAGCCATCATGAGGTCAAAGGTCAAATCCAGTGTGTCCCTTGGAGCGTAAGTTCCTCAGATGTCTATTTATTCCAAACTGAAATTATTAATGTAGTCTTTAGTATAATGTTTGCAACTTGTGCAACAAAGAATTGAACTCCTGCATTTGAAGGAAAAATGTTTCTATTTACAAAAAAAAAAGGTGATAGGGTTAAAGCTATTTTTTTCCATACAACAGTCGTAATAATGAAAACAAAATGTCAGAACTGCATTAAGGATTGGAATAACATTCCTGTGTGATTTTTTTCTATGTTGTTGTACAAGTTGCTAGGCTACCATAAAAAAAACAGTATTTTTCTACAGTACATTCTCTTTGGGAGGACATTGCTAAATAATCGTTTTGTTGTTTGCAGTTTGGTCAAGTACATGACAACTTACAAAAACCATGATCCATTCTTGGCTCCGTGCCTACCCAGCAACCCGTGGCTTACAGACAACGACATGTACTGGAGTCTGAATATGAGAAGGTGAGGGCCAATACATGTGTACTTTAGCACATTATGCTAATGGTTATTAAGATATTTTCATTCTGTTTTTATATCTTATAATAGTTATATATAATATATAATTCATTAACATGGGAAGATCTTACTCAGCAATTATTGTAGAGTTCCTGCTCTCTGCATTTAAAGAATAGAATACTTTATTGATCCCACAGTGGGGAAATGTACATGTTACAGCAGAAAAATGGTCAGGGGGAGTAAAAAACTGTCGGGATTTGTAATATTTATTGTCCTAATTTTTACAACTATCCTAAATGAGAATATAAAAACCAAAGTTCATTGTTTCAAATGAGCAGTTTCAGTTTATAATTCCAGTTCTCAGTTTAATGCTGGATAATCATATCAAGTGGAGTTTGACTTTTTTTTGTGGTATGTTTGGTTTTCATGTTAAATCTCATACATTTGAGAAAATGTATAAGATTTAGAAAAAAAGGAAAAGATGGCATTAAATACCAAAAGTAAATATTTTCTTAACATTGTACTGAGCTGGTAAAATCCACACTTTGTAACATGAATTCTTTAAATGCCACAGTTTCTTTGACTGAAAAAAAAAAACGTTTTTTGGCCTCAGAGTGGAAGTTCCCACTAAGATGCGAGTGGAGCGCTGGTCCTTCAGTTTGTTTGAGCTGCTGACAGACCTCCGGGGTCGGGATGACTTCAAGATCTTCCTCAAAAAGGAGTTCAGCGGTATGTTATTTTTGGCATCTTTTCTCCATTGTGTTTAACCTAAATCTCTCTTGACATATTTAAATAATAGTGCGCTCAAAGTTCGCATGCGAGAATTACTATCAGCATATTTTAAGATACCCAACATTGGTATATTTGATTATCTTAATTTCTCCCGTTTTCCATGATTTGCTGTTTTGTACTTTCACATAACACCAATATGCAGTCAAAGTAAACACAAGAAACCATTGCTACAAACAAATGAACTACAATCCCTATATACGATCCCTATAGCCTCTTAGAAACTGCACCAGTAAAAGCAGGAAGGTGGGTATAAATAAAGAGTTGAAAATAAAAGATAAACAGAAAAGTAGGAAGGGATTCAAACCCTGGTTCGGGTGGGAGTTGATGAAAGTATGGAGGATGCAGAAGTGGAGACAGGAAAAGACACACAGGCAGATTTACCCAACAAGCTAATCTCTTTAGAAGAAAAAATAACATTGTAACAAATCTTCCACATTGTACTTCCGCTGGACACATCCTAACTTTGCATCCTCTCTGCTCTGCTTCTGCCCCCCCAACTCTACCTACTTTACAATCCAGCCCTTAATAGTGCTTGATAAAAATCACAGGATAACCAAAGTACTTAAAAAGAAAAAAAGTTGTTAGGCACTACTAAAAAAGTACCACATAAAAAAAGGAATCAATTACCTGAATAAAGTAGTGAATATTTTATCCTATTTTAGAGAAAAAGAGTTGAGCATTTTGTGGAAATTAGCTTTCGAACGGGGAGATACTGAATCTTTTGGCACATCAGAATCAGATTGGCAGAAGTATCAGGACGTTAAAAAGAAGAGGCAAGAAAATGCATCTTTTCAACAGAACGTTTTAAGTAAAAAAACCTACCAGTTATGACTTTTAGTCTCGTAATTAATTCTCAACATATTGATGAAACACTTAAATCTTGTAATTAATTTTTTTAAAAATGTTGCCATAATAATTTGTTGTAAATAGGAATGTATTGTGAGACTTTTGTTTTTATACCATAACCAATATGTTATTCTATACAAAATCTTTACCGATTATGTGAATCATTTATTGTTTTTTTAATTCATTTTTAAAAAAATTTTTATTTTCACAACAATAACACAAAAACAGTATTGTGTTTCACTAAAGAAAAATGTGATGGACAACTGCCGAAAAACCCTCAAGGGGCTTACTGAGTGGCAGTCTCCATAAAAACAAATATATTTCACAATTTCAAACATCTACATGATGACATATTGTGTAAAAAAAAAAATTCTTTGCATAAAACAATTTAAAATATCATTCAGACAACAAATTGTTTTGTTGGGCAGATGATAATTTGTTAGGTTTCGATGGTTGAAGATAGAAGATCTTGAAAATGCTTACCTGGTTTTGTGGCTGTACCTGTTCCAGGAGAGAACTTGGCTTTCTGGGAAGCAGCAGAGGAGCTGAAGTGGGGCACTGCCTCATCTATGACTTCCAAAGCTGAGACCATTTTCAAGTAAGGCTAATTCAATTCAGCATGTTTCATGTGTTTTATTTACATAAAAATAGTGTCTAGCTTGCCTGTACACTTGTTTTGATTCATAATTCATGTCTGGCTCTACACTTAGTGGAATGGAGTGTCTTATAACATTAGAGTATGTACAAACTTTATCAAAGTAGGCCAATAAAAGCTTATTGTTTTTAACCTCCTGAGACCCCAGATTTTAATTGGTGTGCATTTTTGCTTTTTTAAAGATATATGGGATTAGTACAACCTACTAAGTTTAATAACTCAAATTTGTCATGGTACAGGTAGTTGTGCTTCGTATAGGCTCAGTGGGTTTATCTTTATATTTAAAATGCTAGTTTATGTATCTAATTAAATGTTATTGGAATTTTGTTCTGACAGTCCAAATTACTTATTAACAATTTTTTAATTACGCAATAAGAACATTATTGGTTGAAAATGTATAGCACCCATTTTACTTTAGAGTGTCTGATAGCGTCTGCTATGAGGCCAAGAGGTCAAAGTTGAAAGAAAAAAGAAGTATCATGGTAAAGAGAGGCAAAAATGCAACGTCCTCTAATGAGGACACAGGGTCTCAGGAGGTTAAGTAAGTTTTACAGCTCGGAATGGCATGTCGACCATTCCCCAGACGGAATGGCCTCGTGTCATCATTGTGGTGTGGTTGTGTTCAGAACCTTCCTGGCCCCCGGCGCCCCCCGCTGGATTAACATCGACGGCCGGACGATGGGTCTGACGGTGAAAGGCTTAGACCACCCTCACCGCTACGTCCTGGAGGCTGCTCAGACACACGTCTTCATGCTCATGAAAAAGGTCGCTTTATTCCCTACCTTTAGCTTGCACTCACACAAAGAAGTGAATTCTAATGATTGGTTCCCTGATTTGAAAATCTCCTCTGAAAATAATTTTGTGGATTTAACAAGGTTTTTTTTGTTTTGTTTACAATTCAACGTTTCTTTTCATTTAACAGCTTTTTTGCATTGTACTTTTTTGTTGTTTACATTTAATGTTTACATATACATTTAACTTTTTTGTTTGCTTACATGGAATGTTTTTTTTAATTAACAACTTTTTTTAAAAATGTAACAACTTTTTTAAAATGTAACATTTTTTACTTGTTTACATTTACCTTATTTTTTTTTACATTTAACAACATTTTTTTTGTTTGTTTACACTGAACGTTCTTTTCATTTGACTTTTTTTTTTAAATGAAACAACTTTTTTTGCATTTTACGTTTTTTCCCTACATTTAACTTTTTTTGTTTACATTTAACAACTCGTTTGTTTCTTTTACATTTAAAGATTTTTCATTTAACAGCTATATAACAGGATAATGTTTGAACAGATCCAGCGTCCAATCAGATATTGGGGAAGGTTTTTTTTTTTTTTTGGGGCAAGAGAAAAAGGGGGGGGGGGGGGGGGGTATTGTCAGCATGCCCCTCAGAAAATAGGTACAGTAGTTGTGCCCCTGAGTAGGCCAAAGTAGAACTGATTGGATGAAAAGACCATAAAGAGACTAATCTTTTTCAGCAGTTCATAGATCAAAACTTTTTGGATCACATTGAAACATAGACATGAACTGTGTGTTACTTATGCTAATTGCATGTTCTTTCATTGGAACAGGACACATTCTTCCGTTATCTCAAGTCTCCAACGTACAAAGACATTCAGAAAAAGGCCCTGAACCCTGAACCTCATAACTTTAGGTGAGTATGGGAAGCTCCCCATAAACATATGATAACTTCCATTTTTGTATTGACTGGTACAGATATAAGACGATATCTGGCAAAAGTTACAGAGCAGGATCTCACTTGCCTGTACACTCCAACTGACTATCAACACGTACAAACAACAGTTTTTTTTCCATAATTGTTTATACTTTTTCTATCTGCCATAAATTAACCAATGGTGAGACATTTTAACTTAAATGATTTTTACAATACCGATCAACCAGAACCAAAAAAAAAACAATATGGCATCCATCCATTTTCTACACTGCTTATTCCTGGTAGGTTCATGGGGGTCTGGAGCCTATCCCAGCTGACATTGGCTGAGAGGGGGGGGCTAAAATCTGGACAGATCGCAAGTCCATCATAAGGCCACACAGAGACACACAACCACACACACTCACATTCACT